TCTATCGCAAAGCCAAAGCCGGGGAACTGGTAGAAGAGAGTGGACTCTGCAAACTGGCCATGCTAACTGAGATCAACGTTGAAGAAGTGGGTGTTGGAGGAGCCAAGAACTTCTTTGAAGCAAAGGTAAACGTTTTTATTGACGAAACAATCAAAGAGCTCTGTGGGATGTAATGCAAGATAACAAAGGGCAGAAACATCCTGGTTTTGGTCTGCCATCTTGTTACTGAGCTATATATACTTGAACACGTATCACTCAGAATAAAATAATTTTGTCTATTTTGCTTAGAAAGAGCCACATGCTCCTCGAGTGACATTCAAAATTATAATTTCAGTGCCAAAATTTATGTCACAAAAAAAAACCAGGCAAGGAATGAAACATTTTTCCAGTGGTTTATAAAGCTTCAGTTGTGGATTTCTTACTTTCGTGTCCTCTGCAACAAGGCAAATGCGAAGGAATCCATTTCTGAAACAGAAGCACCCATAGGGCATTGTTTATTGATAGAGTTATTTTTATATACTCTTGTTGTGGGAGTTGGGTGAACTACTGTCTTCAGGCTGTCATTATGCTGACACATTCTTTACTTGTTGCAAAGGGCAAGGATCAAACCCAGAAACCTTAGAATACTAAATCTGAAGATCAGGCAATGGGATTCCATTTCCTTCTGACATGGTTTAGTAGTATGATGTGATATAATATACAACTTAAAATGGACTTCAAACCACAGTTGAGGTCTTACACTTCCCACATCAAATAAAGTGTTTCCGGAATAGAAAGTTTACAAAATGTGTTTCAGATTGAGGAACTGAGGAAGACAAGTAAGTTTGAAGATGAAATTCGCCAAGAACAGGAACAGCGCAAGCGAGAAGAAGAAGAAAAGGCACAGAGGAGAACAGCTTTCAAGCAGAAGGCAGCACTTTTCCAGAATGGCACCCAGGAAACAAATGGATCAACATGAAGGACTGCAGGTGTAATCAGCCTGTAGACATCAAACGAATGCTGAATGGATGTGCAGACGGAATGGTGGCATTAACAGAGAAAGATTGGATTTAATGCCAAATACTTCAGTGTACCTTCATGCTTATAAGCGGTAAACATAATAACTTCATATATGTAATATAATAGAGCTCTTTTAGTGACATTTTGGTTATAAAATGTTGATATATCTTAAGAGACTGTTACAAAGCAACATATCTGTCCAGCAACTAAGTGAAGTGGGTGTTATTCCAACAAAGCAAAGTCGTTATGTTGGAAAATGGGATTTAAAAGTGAAGGAAGATATGGAGTGTTAAGAGTATATTTGTGGTTGATCGATGAATTGTAAAACTACTCTTAATTCAAGTAATTAATATTTATAACTGAATTCTAATACTGTGCTAGGCCTAACACTGCATTTACAGAAATAACATAAATCCATTGTAAAATGTTAATTGAAAATGTGATAACTGAAAATAATAGACCTGACTTACGTAAACTGAAATCATTTAAATTACATCTTTGAAACCACATTTAATATAATCTTAAATATATATATCCATTATACCTTAGAAACTAAATGTTTTTGAAAGAACAACAATGCCCATCAGTTAGAGATAGAAGTGTATGTTGGCATAAAATATCAAATAAGTTATTAGAAATTAATAAGAAAACAATTAGAAATATGAAGACAGTTTGTTCAAGTGCTTTTCAGATGAACAATGCAGGACAAAAACTTTAATAAGAGACAAGGTTTGATCCAGAACTTAAAGATGGTGTTGCCATGCCACTTAGGCAAAGCAACAAACTAAACACAATAACCGCCTATTGAAAAATTAATTGAGTGGAACAATTAAGAAATTAATTGTAATTGTGCTTGAAACAAACACATACTTCTATCCATCATAATATATCGTTTTTGTACATATATTTTTATCAGATAATTTTAATATCTTTACATTTGTAATTTAGACTTTATAATAACGAGAACAAATATGTGTTAATCCTATAAACAGTGAGACCAGCAGACTTCCATAGTATGGCAGATTACAATATTTTTAACAGTATTTCAGCAGAAAGTTTTTGAGCGCTTCATCCAGATGTTGGCTGTTTGTAAAAATGTAAATATTTGTGAGAATAAAGTATGACAGGCAAGATTCATCAAATTGATTCATATTACAATGTCTGAACCAACCAATATTTAGCTTTTGTTACCAGCTAACTTGGTCGCTGTAGTATATATTTCTTTCTGGTCAAGAAGTTTACTTTTCTTTATATACGCTACATTACAATGTTGTGAACTTAAGTACAGTTAATGTTGTCACATTAAATAAAAAGCATATGAGATGGATACTGTATTTTATATTGACATTGGATAAAAGTCAGAATAAAGTGGTATTACATTAGAATTTTATACCTGAAAGGTGTTATTTTTATCAACATAATCACATTCCCATCATCAACACAAAATATCTCTGATCCTCAGCTACATCATCGTAAGAGGTGAAGGAAAGACGTAAACCGTATTCTATTCTGAATGGCAGGGAAAGCAAGTCGGTATGCATTAGTCCATAGGTTCCCAAACTTTTATACCTTGCGCCCCCCTTAAAACATTTCATAAATTTCACAAACCCCTTCCAGAACAAGTGCAAGCAAACAGATTTGACATAAAATTTAGCTATGTGTATACATTTTTTTATAGTTTAGTATATAGTATTCAATGAATTTAATTTAAAAACTGTAATAAAATATAGGCTTCATACCTGGATTAGTGGGATGGATGTGGTTGCTTCTGTGAACATAACTTATCATACTGAGGTTGGAGTTTTGAAATGGCTACTCTAAGGTCGTTTTCCAGGTTCATTGTAGAACGATACTTTGTTTTGATGGCTGCCACTGCTGAACTGCCTCAACCAAGCGAAGGTTGTTAAAAATGTTTCTCCAGGGGGGCGCCCCACACTTTGGGAACCTCTGCGTTAGTCCAACAACTACGAAAATCTGTCCTAGGTCTGAGTTCTGGACTATGACATTCAATGTAGAAATATCATATATCTGTTTAGAAACTACAGATATCACTTAACTAGAACAATAACAATAGGAGATTTAGCACTAAAACGTCTTCCGTTTTTTGACCACTCAAATGAAATAAATCACGAACCTCATCAAACTCCATTACCGCTACCGCCTTGTTTCAAAATAACAACTTACTAATCATGTAAACACATATCGACAACACCCACAGATAAAATAAGATTGTACCGTCACAGACAATACTAACCAAAGGATAACAGCTTTTCATGCCATCTATACATGAAGGTTTAAATTGAACACTAAAAACCTTAATGCATTTTAGAAACCGTTTCATCCTTCTTCTTCTCTAAATCGATTTACCAGAATACAGATGATGTTGTGGGTTGTAATAGCCTGTAGATTTGCACGCAGATCGTAAAGTTTCGGAGAAACATACTCTTTTAATTTTCAGGGCTGACATGATTTCAATGTCCTCATTAAAATTAATTTTAGTGTCAAAGGGAAAGAATTATTTGCTTCCCTATTGGTTATTAAATTAGATTTATTCTTTACAAGGCCTGAAGCCCCAAGGAGGTTCCTTCTGCATTCCACAGACCTATGAAGAACTAAAAAGTCTACAGGTGTTCATTTTAGAATACAAATATGAAAAATGGACACCAAGAAATACCTGAAAAAAGAAGCACTTCAAGAAAAGTTTATGCAGATATGGACATGGAATTCCTTTGAGGGCACTGGAAATGAAGATGTCAAATAAATCAACAGTGGGAAAACAAGAAGTTGGACAGAAATCAGGAAAGGTGTAACAAAAGAAAGTAGGGAACAAATGAGCATAGACATTAGAATGATGTGGAAAGCACTGCCATTAAGCAGACCATTAATGGTATAAATGTCAGTAATGATAATAATAAATCCTTGAAATATGATATAAACATGTTCAGGCCATTTCTGTTTAAAATGTAACACAATATTGTATTTCAATTTAGTACAATTTTTCTGTTTGGTCATGGCAATTAATGAAATGACTTTTGGATATTAAATTAAGGGTCAAGGGAGTTCGTCAAATGTACTGCCTTCAAAATATTTCCATCATTACATAGTGATATCAATAGTCCTGGCATCTGGTACTACTTTATGATAATAAAAAAAAAATTCCAATAACTTTGTATCTTGGACACTATGAGAAATGTCTTTCCAATTATGGCACTCTAAATAAAAGCAGTATGGTAGTGACAGCACAGTTACACATCCGCTGGAAAACTTTAGCATTTACTACAAACAGAAAGTATATAAATAAAACAGCATTATTACTTTCAGTACATCTTATTTATATTTATTTCAAAATTACATTCTTACAGATTAATTTACAGTTATAACATCAACTATATAATTATGACATTACAGTCCCTGAAACATATTTTACATTCACTTTCAAATGTTTTCATATCATTAAAAATTCAGTCTTTCTAATATAATATCTGTTAAACAGTTAAACTATTAGAGCTAGGAATGCACAAACTAAATGCACAGAAATTGCTGCATGTAATAGTTGTGCCAAATAATGAAACTAAGGCGATCAGAAATCTGTGCAAGAAAGCCTAGCGTCCTACAGAATTCTTAAGCATTCAGAGCTCTTGAATGTTCATGAATTAAATTCAAAAACCACCAAAGTTTAGAACATTTTAAATTCAGCTCCACTCTTCTACGCACAATCATTTTTCATATTTCAGTTGAAAGTTGTGAAGATGACATGGTACGTGTTACTGGTACATAACAGTTGAGTCAGAAACTAACTTAGGATTGAAGATTTCTGTCTTCTGGGTTGCGCTGTGTAGTCTGGTCAATGTTTACCAACGCCCTGATGACGGAGGCAGTATGACCTTTGAAACGTTGGTAAACATCGACCAGACTACACAGCGCAACAACCCAGAAATCTTCATATTCACCGCTGCAAAAACATAAAATCTTACGTAACTTAGGATTCTGGGTTCTCGTAGCAGTGAAGATGGAGGCAGTATGTTCCTCCAAAACAGATAACCTTATATAAGACCACACAGCATCACAACCCTGAAGGCCACGATAACCTACATTAGAATTGTGTTCTGCTGCTACCGACTTCCAATATATTTTTTATACTTTGCTGACACCAGTAACTAGTACATTATACAAAATTTCAGCAATTACATTCATTGCAATAACAGTTTAAATATTCTTATTATGTATTAAAAAGTAAATTATCAAACATGACAATGTGGTTCTATTAATATTATACCTTTTATAACTTACTATATATTTCAGAGTAAATAATACCACCAATGGGCATTATTTGTATGTGTTTTAGACAATTTCAAGGTTTTGACGCTACTTCATAATTTAGAAGTATAAGATTCAAATTCTGACAGAAATCAGATATTCCTGACTCTAGGATTTCTGTGATTTTTCTCAGAACATCAAAGAAAATTCTAGAAGTGCTTTTTAACATTTTAAAATAGTTTCTTACTCAGCTTTGGCATGAAAAGTTATGATGGACAACTCTGCACTTTTGCGAAGATGAGACAAGAATCAATGGCCTCTCAATATGAATGTATGCATCTGGACACGGTAACATTTGGGCTGATAAATCTGTTGTTAGACTTTAGAAAGTTAAAGTAACCTTGAATAACTCTGTTACATTCTCCCACAACACAGTAGTCATAACAATCATTAAGGCTTTAGTTGCTTCTGACCACGTACGTACCTTATATATGGCTTCCATTTTCATGGATTTGGATAAATTACATAAAGAATCTTCGGACTAACCGCTGTGAAAACCTCAAATCCTACAAGAATATACGTGCCTCCTCCTTTAGGATTTCTGTTAAACTGCTTGATAAAGCTCAGAAGTGTCACATATCAAAACCTTCATAAGAGAACAATGAAATATAAAGAAGTCAGAATCCATTATTTTGGTGAGCAAATTAAAGAAATCAAAAGTGTCTTAGGTGAACTAACTAACTAGATGGCTTATGGAACCTGAAGGTTCATCACCAAATTAACCAAAGCCCTGTCCGGGGCCAACAAAATCCAGTCGTCTTCAACTCCTATCTCCCGCCTGACATTGTCTTCCCATCTACGTCTAGGTCACCCCAGCATTCTCTTCCCCTCAGGCTTCCCAAATAGTGGACCCAACCAACCAGATGGCTTATGAA